GTGTCTCTGTCAAATAAATAAATAAAATCTTTAAAAAAAAAAAAAAGAAGATAAGCCACAGACTGGAAGTATTCTCAAGACATTTCTGATAAAGGACTTTCAAAACTAGACAGTAAGAAAACAACATGATTTAAAGATAAAAGATCTGGACACCTCACCAAAGAAGATATACAGATGAAAAGTAAACATATGAAAAGATGTTCACCATCACAGGTTATCAGGGAACTGCAAATTAACATAACAATGAGGTATCACTACAGACCTGTTAGAGTGGCCAAAATCCAAAATACTGACAACATCAAATGCTGGAGGGGACGTGGAGCAACAAGAACTCTCATTCATTGCTGTCAGGAATGCAAAGTTGTATGATCTCTTTGGAAGACATTTTGGTGGTTTCCTTACAAAACTAAACATACCCTTACCATATAATTCATTCAAGAAGCAATTATGATCCTTGGTATTTAACCAAAGGAGCTGAAAACTTATACCCACACAAAAACCTGTACATGGATAAATATACTGGCTTTATTCATAACTGGTAAAACTTGGAAGCAACCAAGATATCCTTCAGTAGGTAAGTGGACAAATAAAGTGTGGTATATCCAGATAATGGATTATTATGCAGCACCAAAAAGAAGTGAGCTATCAAGCCATGAAAAGACATGGAGGAAACTTAAATATATATTACTAGTGAAAGAAGACAACCTGAAAAAGCTACATACTGTATGATTTCAACTACAAGTGACCCTTGAACAACACGGGTTGGGGTTGACCCCCTCACACATTAAAAATCCACATGTAACTTTTGACTCCTTCAGAAAGTTAACTACTAATGGCCTGTTGACAAGAAGCCTTACCGATAACATAAACAATTGATTAATACATATTTTGTATACATATTATATACTGTATTATTACAGTAAAGTGAGCTAGAGAAAAGAAAGTGTAATTTAAAAAATCATAAGGAGGGACACCTGGCTGGCTCAGTCAGCAGAGTGTGTCATGCTTGACTTCAGGGTCATGAGTTCGAGCCCCATGTGGGGTATAGAGATTACTTAAATAAATCTTAAAAAAAAAATCATAAGGAAAAGAAAATACATTTACAGTACTGTAAAAAAAACCCATGTATAAGTGGACCCATACAGTTCAAACCTGTGTTATTGAAGTCAATTATATATGACATCCTGGAAAAGGAAAAACTATGGAAACAGTAAAAAGATTAGTTGCTGCTACAGAATAGCTGGGAGGGAGGGATGAAGAGAGCAGACTTTCAGAGCAGTGAAACTATTCTGTATATACGACGACAGTGGATACATGTTATTATACTACATCTGTTAAAACCCATAGAATGTACGACACCAAGAGCGAACAAGACTGTAAACAATGTACTTTGGGTGATGGCGATGTTTCAATGTATGCTCACTGATTTTAACAAATGCACCATCTGGTGAGAATATGTTGACAATGGTGTAGGTTGTGGGTGCGCGGGGAATATGGTATATGAAGGGGAGGGTTATATGGGAATGCTGTACCTTCATCCTAAAACGTATAGAAGAAAACAGCAGAAAATCTTCGCGATTTTGTGCTTGCCAGAGTTCTTAGACCAAAAGCGCGAACCACACGGGCCACTCAAGCCACTGCACAACCCCCGCTCTTCTGCTTCCACCTGGGGCGGGAGGCTCAGCCTGGCCCCGCCCTGGAACTCCTCGGGGCCTGCCCCGGCCCTCCTAGCCCCTCCCACCCCTCCCCGCCCCACCTTCTCGCGTCCCGCGGCACCAGGCGGGGCGCGCGCCCGCCCGCTTCTCCACCCGGAAGAGCCACCTGAACGGCGAAGTTGAAGTGGTGCGCGGCTCGGCGTCCGTCGGGTGCGCGGGCCCGGCCGAGGAGCCGGCGCAGCGCCTATTTCGCCCAGGCGCGAGGCGGATCCGTCGGAGCCTGCGCGCCCCCGCGGCCGGCGACGCCTCGAGCGGCCGGCGCACGCGCCCCGCCCCGCCCCCAGCGGCCTCCTCGAGCCCCCGCAGCCAGGCCCGAGCTCTCCGCGCCCCTTGGCCTCGGGAGCAGCGTGTCCCCGATGACTTCTGACACTGCGTATCCGCCAGTAAGTGACAGCCGCAGCCTCGTTTCACCGTTACTATTTTTTTTTTTCTCCCCCAGTTCGTCCTAAGTCTCGCCCACATCTGGTTAGTTCCCAAACTATTCAACTCCGGGGTTGGTCGGGCGGCCGAGCTGCCCGGTTGCCGAGCCCGGGTAGTGTCAGAGTCTTGCTGAGGTATCGTAGGGCAGGGGCTGCGTCCAGAGACGGAAGTGTGATAAGCAGCCCCCTGAGTACAACCCGACTCCTCGTTTGCCGAGCGCCCGCGGGGCGGACGGGGAGGAGGTGCCTGGAAGACGCGGGCAGTCGGCGAGAGGGGTGGGTCTTAGGACGCGGCGCCGCGGGGACCGACGAGGGGGCGTGGCTCCCGGTGGGTGTGGCGTGGCCGCTGGGCGGGCGGGAATTCCGGGTGGTCCAGCTGGAAGTCGCCCCTTATTAGCCCTCCTGGCTCTCGTGGGCGCTTCACGTGGTCCAAAGGATGAAGTAGCACATCGTTGTATTTTGACTTCACTCTAAGGAAAAGGAAAGGGAACTTGAAAGTTGTAGAACAATAAGGGTGGGCATGTTTATAGGGGTAACAAACTGCTTAGAAACAGTTGAACAGTTTTGCACAGATTTTGAAAGGGGATGCTGTTTTTTTTTTAAAGATGCCATTTCAGAAAAGACTAGGCAGAATTTAATCTGACTTTAGTTTGAACCATGAATTCTGCAGCTACCCCCTTTCTGCCCTATGTGGAGCTTTTATATTGTTAAACTTGTGGCTCCAAATTTAATACGTATTTATAGAATCTTAGAGATTAATTTGTAGCAACTCTTTACACTTGGCTGAATTTATATTACCTAATCAAAACAAATTACTTATCAATATAATGGCCATAATTTGCTCTCACTCATTCTCCTAGATATACACATACCCATCTGTCAGTCTCACACTTGTATCCTGTAGTTGTGAGACTTCTTGGCCTATGACACATACCCCCTGTACTCCTTTCACACCTTCTAGAATAGTAGGTTCCCTGAAAAGGCAAAATATTGCTAATAAATAGCCTGTGTAACGCATAGTTAGGATGCTGAAATGTGAACTTCATAAGTCATCTTTTATCATCTATTTGTTGAACCTAATACAATAAATTGTGGGTGAATGAAATGTCAAATTAAAGCACATTTGTCCTCCAGTTCTCTGTTACCAAACCAAATAAGGGTTTCTTAGATGATCGATTTCAACAGTTTATTTGGAACTGCCCATTGCCATGTCTAGGATTGTCACTCCATTTAAATTTAATCCTTTTTTCCTTTGTACTCCCATTCTTACTGCATTTTTACCACTACTAGTGCACCGTTTCATTTTGATCTGTCCCTTGGTTCTCTGAGGCATTGAGGATCTTTTATTATGCTTTTTATTTCCCAACATAGTGAATGAGTATGATAGATATCTGTCTGTATACATGAAAATAGAATGGGGGTAGGCTCTTTTAATCTGCAGATACAAATTAAAAAATATATTGCCAGGGGAATAAGATAGGTGAAGTAATGTAATATAGTATATTTATTTTCAATCCTAGTTATTTATCATTTAAAGACCAATTTTCCTTTCCTCAGCTTAATTATCTAGTTTCTTTACACTATTGACAGCTGTTTTTGCTGAAGCCAATAGGTTTCCTAGGTTAGAAAGAGAAAATGAGAAGCAAATTCACCTCAAAATGTAAATTTCTGAAGCAAATCTGTTAACTATTCAAGTCAGAACTGGCTATCCATGTATGTTGCATTTATGTAGCAGAAAGCCCATGAATATGTGTGTGTAATGAGAGAGAGTGAAAGAGAGAAAGGAGGGTATGTTCTTTGTATGGATAAAACCTAGAACCGGAGCACATGCAAAGAACTTCAGCCAAAAGACTGCTGTTTAAGATTTTATACCTGAGAGCATACGTGCATATGGAATGTGGTTAAAGAAAAGGGAAGGGCCTTTTTCATAGTGCATCATAGGATTAATGAGGAGGAAGTTTTGGCAAAAGCTACGGGAAAGCCATTGGACCATTTTGGATTTCACTGATCAGTACAAACAGAATTCTTGGGCTTTGGTTTAGCTTCACTTTCTTAAAAAATAAATTTACTAAGTGACTATAACAGGTAATTCAGATCTTATTAAGATTTTAATTTGGATAATATTTTGAGTTGATAGTGCGGCCCATAACAATTTACAACCAGTTTTTTGTTTGTTTGTTAACTTGTGTCTAAGTCGCAATATCAAAGGTATAATATGGTCTTTTTCTTTAATCACCTAGATTCAAGATGAACAGTGATCAAGTTACACTGGTTGGTCAAGTGTTCGAATCCTATGTTTCGGAATACCATAAGAATGATATTCTTCTAATCTTGGAGGAAAGTGACGAAGATGCTCATTACCCAGTTGTGGTTAATGCCATGACCCTTTTTGAGACTAACATGGAAATTGGGGAATATTTCAACGCATTTCCAAGTGAAGTACTAACAGTTTTTGATAGCGCTCTGCGAAGATCAGCCTTGACAATTCTCCAATCCCTTTCTCAACCTGAGGGTGCTTCTATGAAGCAGAATCTTCATGCCAGGATATCAGGTGAATCACTTAAGGATTTTACTGCCACTTATTCTCTAGGAACATTTTGAAAAATTCTAACACATATTGAACTCAGAGCACTAAGAAATAATTGATATTTATACTTAAAAATATATTTATTGTGTAGTTGATAGTCACTTTTAAAGCAGAATAGTAATTTTATACTGTTTCCTCTGGACATTTGGAAGGCTGGGGTACTAGCCATGCCAACCGAGGGGAAGGAGAATGTATGGAGACAACAGTATATTAGTGTGCACATACACACACATGGATATGTGTGTATAAAATTATAATTCAAAGCAGCCTTAATGAGCTTTTGTGACTACTAACAAAAGAATTGATAATATCAAGAATTAGAAAAGTGGTACCTTCCACCCTGTGATCTTCAGAACTATTTTAGGAAATTTATTATTTTTATATCTCAAGTTTAGCATTATGCTGGCCACCTAATAGGCACTCAGTTTTTGTCGAATGAATGACAGATTAAGTATCTTAATTTTTAAGATGCAGGGCACTGGGTGGCTCAGTTGGTTAAGCGTCTGCCTTTGGCTCAGGTCATGATTCCAGGGTGTTGGGATCAAACCCTGCATCAGGCTCCTTGCTCAGCAGGGAGCCTGCTTCTCCCTCTCCCCCGCTTGTGTTCTCTTTCTCTCTCTCTCTCTCTCAAATAAATAAAATCTTTAAAAAAAAATTTTTTTTAAGATGCTGCAGTGGAGCAATCAGCTTGTGGCAAAGCTGTATCTTTGAATTACTGCAGATTAAGTTGGAGAACACATGTACCATTTTGTTTAGAAATAAATACTTTATAGTACATTTCAGAAAGGTGGGGATTTATAATCAAAAATGCTTGCTATGATTCCAAAAAGATGAGTCAGTATAGTAGAACTTTTTGGAGACAAATTAAGATCCCCCTGCCAAAAGACCATATATTTGATTTAATTGAAAAAATAGTATTTTATCTAGAATAAAATTATGAATATTACAAATCTTTAAGATCAGGACACTAGATAATCTCTTGGTAGGATCAAGAACAAATGTTTCCTTATAATAATGTTGCAAAAAGATTGTTAAAAGGGACTTTAGTTAATGTTACTGAAATGGTATCTAGGAATGGTTTTAGGCTGTCCTTATATTTAGATATTTTTCCATGCTTAGTTTAAATACCAAAATTTTGTCTGCCTAGGTGACCCTATTGGTTTCAGGTAAATTTAGCCTATTTTTTTTTTCTAATTCTCTGAAAAAAAAAATTGCAAATTATGTTACTACCATAGTGCATTTATTCTACAAATGCATTAAGCGTAGGCATTTGCTAGTCTCTTGAGAAACCAAAATAATATGGTATAGTCCCTCATCTAAATAAGCTCATGGCTGTAGGGGATATAGCTGTATAGTCAAATATTTACCAAACGGTGTACGTATGCTCAAAGATACATGCCTATGTGCATGTTAAACATAATTGTTTATGGAGCTTAGTGGCAGCTTTTATGTTACGTGATGCATGCCTCACTCAAGGTAGGTGCAAGATATATTAGCCCACAGAACAGGGAATGAATTCTAGCAGATTCACTGGAGATTACAAGAAGAGAAGGTAAGGTGGGGATGGAAATAGTCTGGTTTTAGGTGTATTGCAGCTTCATCTTGGACTCCAGGCAAGGCATTCAATTATAAAAACAGGTTGCCTCTGTGTTTCAGTCTTCTTAGGAACCTAAGACATTTTCTGGTTTATCTTTCCAGGATATATGTTGCTCTTTGTCTTCTGGGATTTTTATTAACCTAAAGTTTACTTGCTATTTCCAGTGGTTTTGATGAAAGGTGTTCTAATACACAGATAGCATCAAACTAAATGAGAAGGAAAAAATAGCATTCATGTGTTACTTAAACTAGTGGTTCTCAAACATTAATGTCGATCAGAATCAACTGTAGGCCTTGTTAAAACACTGATTGTTAGGCCCCACCCACAGAGTTTCTAATTGAGAAGGACTGGCATGAGGCCCAAGAATTTGCATTTCTAACAGATCCTAGGTGATGCTGATGCTGCTTTTCCAGGAATTACATGCTGAAAACCAGGGGCCTGAAGTAATTGATATGGACATATCTCTAGCATAGACGTAGATATGGACAGCTCAGAATCTATTTCCAAAATTTCTTTTTGTTCTTGATCATTGAATGAATCAGGGAATGATAAAGGTTTTTGTGTTCAGCACTAATCGTGGCTTAGTGCCTGATGTACACCACACACCACCACCACCACCCCTTCACTAGTATAGTTGAAGAACATACTTAGTAAATGTATAGTAAGACAGAAAGATGAAAATAAATTGACATTTCTATCAAAACACTGTCTCTTAGTGTCTTTTTTAGTATTAAGATTTTGATTGTATATGGTCAGTTTTGCTTAACATTATGTTGCCTTTATCTTTATATTTTAAGCTTATTTAAAAATCACAGGGGCGCCTGAGTGGCTCAGGCAGTTAAGAGTCTGCCTTTAGCTTAGATCATGATCCCAGGATCCTGGGATTGAGCCTGCACTGGGGCTCTCTGCTCAGCAGGGAGCCTGCTTCTCCCTCTCCCTCTGCCTGCCACTCCCCCTGCTTGGGCGCACAGTCTCTCTCTCTCTCTCTCTCTCTCTTTGTCAAATAAATAAATAAAATCTTTAAAAAAAAGAATTTTCTTTGGCATTTTGTACCTTTTAAAAAGTTGCCTGTTTATTAATGGTGAAAAACACAAGTTTTTTAAGGGATAAAATGGTGCCGCTGTGGGTAAACCTCTAGGTAATTCAAGGCTTGGAAACAGTCAGATTTATGTATTAATAAATTCTGAACCTAACTAAAAAAAGCAATAGCCTTCTAGCACGGTGGGGCTCTGGTCATTATGCTACCCTCCCTTTATCACTCAGCTTTGTGGTTTACTCAGTCATCAGTTGATTTTATGTTTTGCCTGTGGCAGTATGTTTTTTGTTGAATGAGGTTACAATTACATACTGTATTTAGAGTCTACTGTGCTAGCCCTCTTATGAAAATCAGTCCTTTTTTTTAATCCTGGTTATTATGTCATCTGGATATATACTTTTATTTTTTTTAACGATTTTATTTGAGAGAGAGCACAGAGGGAGAGGGAGAAGCAGACTCCCCGCTGAGCAGAGAGCCTGATGGCAGGGCTCGATTCCAGGACCCTGGGATCATGACATGAGCTGAAGGCAAATGCTTAACCGACTGAGCCACCCAGGCGCCCCTGGATATATACTTTTAGAAGGAGTACACTGATCATTGTTATTTAAAATAATCCTTGTCTATTTTCTATATTGAGTTGGTCTGATTTTTTTTCTTAAGTGAAACTCAAATTTTAGGCAAACTCAAATACCTTCTTCCCTAGGAAATATGAGAAGAATATATTCCATGGAGTCAAATCCCAAGATATAAGTTGATGTGGTTTTTGTTGTTTCTCTCCATCAGGTTTACCTGTTTGTCCTGAGCTGGTGAGGGAGCACATCCCTAAAACCAAGGATGTGGGACACTTTTTATCTGTCACTGGGACAGTAATTCGAACAAGCCTGGTGAAGATCCTGGAGTTTGAGCGAGAGTACATGTGTAACAAATGCAAACATGTATTTGTGGTCAAGGCTGACTTTGAGCAGTATTATACCTTCTGCCGGCCATCCTCCTGTCCCAGCTTGGAGAGCTGTGATTCTTCAAAATTCACTTGCCTCTCAGGCTTGTCTTCATCTCCAACTAGGTGTAGAGATTACCAGGAAATCAAAATTCAGGAACAGGTAAATGATCAAAGAAATGAGAAAAATAACAACTCTGAAGAAGGTTTTTTTCAGCTGTGGGCAAATTACCAGGACTCGGGAACGCGTACAGGACTACAAATGGAACTTGTGTCATCCCACAGTATAGTTGCACATGTATCAGAATACAGTCTTTAGAGACATGCAGTAATCATCTCTGTATAGAGAGCATTGGCAGAAGGGTTGTGGAATGACAATAATTATGTTAAAATTAAGGAAATATTTAAGAAGTTCAAACAAGCTGTATTTAAGGGATAGGAGAAAATTAAATGGGTTTAAGTGATTGTTAAACATTGGAGTGGTCAGGATTTGGGGGTTAGGCCCGATTTTATTTTCTGTGTCCAATAAGGCATACATAGACACTCTTTAACATGTCAGAGTGTGCCAGGTTTTCCTTTACTTGCCACTGAAACACAAAGGCATATTCAGTGTTGAGGACTCAAACTCCTGTCTTTCTATACCATTTTTAACACATGGCCTCTATTCTTAGTCCAGGATGGTAGTTACAGCTCTGTCACTGGTGTATGCTAGTCAGGGAGGAGGGAAAGGGAGGGACAGACAACAGCATCAGCTGTCTAACCCCAACTCCCCATTCGAGTCCGTCTTCCTTGAAGTCTCTCACAGCATATCTACTTGTATTTCATTGGCCAGAGCTTAGTCATATGACCATGCCCAGGTGCAGGGGAGCTGGGAAATACAGTCTTTTTACTGGGTACATGTCCACGTGGAATAAAACCAGGGTTCTGTCACTAAGGAATAATTAAAGGAACAGTGATTTGTCCCAGGTCTTAGGACTAGAGATCAGGAAAGAACTAGGTAAGTAACTTTGTTACTGTGTTTAATAATTGGAGTGTATGTTTCTTTTGACCATCCACAGGGTAGATTATATTTGGAGCTATTTTCCATAATGGTGTTTTTATTTTACTCTGGTTTTAGTGAGTTTGTAAATGGGTAGTAGGCACAATTTTCAAGAAAATTCTATAAATCCCCATCATAATTAAATTGTATGATAATACCAGGGAAATAGAAACAGTAATTTCAAGAACTGCTAGGCTTCTGAATACTTAGCATGTATTTAAGCATACTCAGTATGTGTCTGCTTTTCCTTGCTAGGTGCAGAGGCTATCTGTTGGAAGTATTCCACGATCTATGAAGGTTATCCTGGAAGATGACTTAGTAGACAGTTGCAAATCTGGTGAGAAACAACTTTTGCTAGCTTATATAAGATGTCCTAAAGTACTGATTAGGAAAAAGCCACTTTTTATTTTCCCAAGAACACTGGGAAGTGAGTGTGAAGGCTTTATTGTTCACCTTGAGAATAGAAACTGGCATGGAGGTGGGAGGTGATACATAACAGGAAAGCAGCTGGGCTACAGCTTAGCAGTCCAGTCCAGCCACTTGTTTTATAAATGAAGAACCCAACTTGCCCAAGGTCACATGGAGAGTTAAGTGGCAGAACTAGAACATAAACCCAGATCCATTGACTTTTTCGTCCAGTTGTCTCTTCAGTATATCCTTGCTTGACAGCAGCAACTTTAAAAATTGTAGCAGATTGAGGGGCGCCTGGGTGGCTCAGTTGGTTGAGCGACTGCCTTCGGCTCAGGTCATGATCCTGGAGTCCCGGGATCGAGTTCCGCATCGGGCTCCCTGCTCAGCGGGGGGTCTGCTTCTCCCTCTGACCCTCTTCCCGCTCGTGCTCTCTGTCTCTCATTCTCTCTCTCTCAAATAAATAA